AGACAGCAGAGTTTCTGTGGTCCTTGCATTTTGATCTTTTTCTTAATCAGGATATCCAAGGCTATTTGAACCTTTCCATGCTATCACAGTGAATTGGTTATTTTTCAAACTAATTGTTCCCTGGATAGGGACACCTTCCTGTCAATTTGTTCATTAATGGTTTCCTTTGTTCCATACTCCTAAGTCCCTTTAGGACAAGATTCCTTGCATTTACATCATAGATCTAAGTGAGATCTTAAAGAAAGATGTCTTTTGAAGGATAGTTCATAACCAAAAAAAATTGTTTTATTGTAGTTATATTGTATTTAGTATATTCACACACATATTTATATATTTTATATGTGTATATAAACTATTAATATGTACATACATATATGTATGAAACGTATATATGATAGATGTATTATATACATGACAGAGGGAGAGAAAGGGAAGGAGGGGAAGGAAAGAGGGGTTAGGGGACAGAGAGGAAGGGAGGGAAGGAGAGGGAGGAGAGACAGTGAGATGAGGGGAAAGGAGAGAGAGAGAGACAGAGAAAGATGGAGAGAGAGTTGGGGGGGAAAGAGATGGGGAGAGACAGAGAGAAGGATTTTTTTTTTTTGCAGAAGGAAATGAGAAGAGCCAGAGTTTTATTTCATCTAGGTCCTGCCATATTTCTTTTTATGTTTCATTTTCTTATTTCTCATGATGCTATGATTTTTATTACATTTATATGTCACAGTTTCTTCAAACATTTCACAATCATTGGATGTATAGGAGAGTTATAGAACTGTTAGCATTTACAGAGCATCTTAAGGCTTGCAAAGTGCTTGACATACTGTCTCTTATGATCTCATGGTTTATCCCCTCACCTTTTTTTTTGCTACAATTAATAAGGTTCATAGAACTATTTCTGTACAGAAAGATCTTCCTCCCCACCCCCATTTCTAATTTGATGTATAGGACCTGATCCTGATAGAAACTAGGTCAAAGGGCATGAAGAGTATTATGAGTCTTGTTCAGTATTTCCAGATTGCTTTGCAAAAAGATTGAACCAATTCAGATGCTCCACAGAAGGATAATAGAGGATCTGTCTATCCATAGACCTACCAATTTGGAATTTTATCATTTTTAGTACCAATTCCCTGCATATACTGTTGTTCTAATTTTTATTACTAAGTTGTTTTAATTTTTATTATTAAGATTCTATGCACATGACTTCTTGTGGTCACTGATGATTTATATTTTATTAAAACATATGTATCTTTTTATGATTTTTCTTGATACGACTATACCAGTTTCACTATTCTGACTCTTACAAACCTGGTTGTTCACAATAAATAATTATAGCATTTTATTTGCTTTTGTTTTGCATCTATTTGTGGGGGAGATTTTTGATTTTGTCCTGTGACTCCCCTATTACTTTGTTTTATTGGGGAGCAGAATTACACATTGAAATAATGAGGGCTTTTCTTATAGTCCATCTTTAAGCTCTATTTTTGGAAATATTTTATATACGACACGGTTTTATCTGTTCTTTGAATGCTTATATGTTCAGTTTTCAATTCCCTGACTCTGCGTTTTTATATGAAATCATATTAGTGTCATATTTAATTTCTTCTTCTTAAAGAGTTTCTTTAAGGCTTTCTATTTCTAGCTTTCCCTGTTTGGATATTTTTAAAAATTTTGTGGTTTAGTGAAAAGAATACTTTGAGTCAAAAGACCTGGGTTCATATCTTGCCTCTGACATTTGATACCAGTATGACATTGAGCAAGTCAGTGGTTTCATGGAAATCATTATTGGTCACAGTTGTAAAGGACAATTGATAAAGAGACAGAGTTTGATGGCTTACTTTTAATCCAGACACTCTATGCTCTCTTCGTTATTGATATTTAACCCTTCTCTGATAATAGTCTTGGTTATCTAAATTTTTAAATGTCCATCCTTTTAATTTCTTGTTTTCAGAAACTTCATTTTGTCTAGAAGCTGATTTTTTTCAGATTACAGAATCTGAGAACTGGGTCAGACCTTAGAGGCTACTTCAGAACACCCAGCACAGTGTTTCGTAGTAGGTATTTGATAAATGCTTGTTAGTGGATTAAGAGTTGAAATTTTCGTTGTTGTTCAGTCATTTGAGTCATGTCTGACTCTTCATGACCCCATTTGGGGTTTTCTTGGCAAAGACACTGGAGTGATTTGCCATTTCCTTCTCCACCTCACTTTACAGATAACGAACTGAGGCAAACAGGATTAAGTGACTTGCCCAGGGTCACACAGCTGGTAAGTGTCTGAGGCCAGATTGGAACTCAGGAAGATGAGTCTTTCTGACGCTAGGCCTGGGACTCCATCCACTGTACCACCTAGAAGCCCGATAGTTGACTAGCATCTGATTAAAACATTCCATGTACAATATCCCTGACCTGTGGTCAGGGACCTTTAGGGAAAGACCCCTAGTAAGGGAGTGAAGCTGAAAAATATTATGAAATAAGTCTGGAAAGGTGGTAAGAGTCCAATTGTTCAACATCATAAACACCAGGCTTAATAAAGAGATTTATTTTCTCCTCAAAGCAAAGGGTAAGCACCGAAGGTTTTCAAGTAGGACAATAACATGGAGAAGGTCGTAGAGATGTGATGTGCATATATAATGATCATATATTCTTAATTAGCTTGAGGCTGTCACGAAAGTAAACACTGATTAGAAAGTCCTTTGCCTAAAAAAATTCACAAGTGTCTGAAAATCATTGTTTAGTCTTAACTGGCTCAAGTATTTGAACTAAATAAAATAAACCCAACAAAGCAATCAGTACTTGAAAGAAAACTCATCAAACTAATCAGTTTGGTCAGTGATGAAATGACTGTATACATAATCACTGCCTCAGGCTTGTAAATTTTTTGAGAGTAGGAATTAACTTCATTCTTTGTATATGTATCACCACCACTTAGGAAAGTACCTGGCACACAGCAGGTGCTCAATAAATGCTTGATTGACTGATTAAAGTAATTTAGTAGCTTTGACCTCCCCTTTCTTTGGTTTTCTTGGGCATTTGATTTGTATAGAAATTAAAAGTGGACTCCAATCTCAATTTCAACCTTTACTAGCTGTTTGAGCACAGGCAAGTTCATCTCTCTTTGGCCTGCAGCTTCCTTATCTGGAAAACAGGAATAAGAACAATATATGTGTTACTAATATGTGGCACCCAGCTTGTGAGATTTGAATAAAATAATTTTTATGGACTTTAAAACTCTATATGAATGTCAACCTATTACTAAGAATGGATATTACTTCAGTTACATGCCGTATTCTTTGTCATGTATATGTAAGAAGTAAAAGGAATGAGAGGGATATCGCTGGTAAATGCAGATGGACAAAATGCCAAGTTAGAGGAACAAATGGGAAATGCAGCTTAAAACTTTTTTCTTATAGAAGTGAACTTTTTTTTTCCTTTTAGTTATGGCTATTTCAATTATAGAGAAGTGGTTACTATAAACAAGGGTGTTTTTTTAAAGCCAAAAGAGAAAATATGCTTTATTTAGTCTTACATGAGTTCTCCTTTAAGCCAGAAAGAAAGATATATTATTATATATTACACATTTATTATGAATAATTTTCCTCAAGATGCCTATCAGAAGAGCAAGTCCTTATTCTTATTAAGAAGAAAAAACCCAGCATAAGCAGTTATAAATTTTCACAAAATAAAATTGGAATGCCACTTTCCTCATTTGGTCGTGAACATCATGAAAGCAGTGACTATATCTCATTTTGCCTTTGTATCTCCTATGCCTAGCATGGAGTTTTGCTCAAAATGGATGCAAATTAAATGTTGAATTGAACAGAGAAATTGAAGTATGAACAGTATGTAATTAAAAGCTATTCCCAAAAAATTAAATGGAAGAAGGTAATAATTATCCACAGATCTGTAACTACTTTTCAGAGTTAGAGAATTATACTTCTGCAAACAGAAGACAACTTGGGTGGGAAGAAGGGAATGGAAAGGTAGGTATGTGTAGTGGTTACTGTCAGGATTGAGCAATGCTACAAAGATATCACTGGACAGATTCTCCTCCAATCTCTCTTTAATGACAAAGTAGCCATGAACAAAAGAGGAAATTATGTGGGTTAATATAGTAAGAATTTAAAAGAGAATGCAAAAGAGGCTCAAAAATCTTAATTGTTAGATATTTTAATACTATAATAATAATAATAATAATAATAATAATAGTTCACATCTATAGAGTATTTTAAGATTTGCAAAGTCCTTTTCATACATCATCTCATTTGACCCTCATAGTAACCATGTAAAGTAGGTCTTAATATCATTCCCATTTTACAGATGTGAAAAGTCAGGCTTAAAGAAGTTAAGTAAATAATTCTAGCTCACAAAAATAATAAGTGTCTGAAGTGGGATTTGATGATAAGTCTCCTAAACCTAGTATTCCACCATGCAGTCTTTCAAAAGATAGCAGTGACACTAAGCATGTCTGAAAATCATGTTAAAATTAACCATCACAATATGAAGTTAAGAGGTATTCTATGGGAAGATAAGCACAACTACAGTTGCTGAGAATATTCCAACTCTATAATGTTCCTAAAACAATGACACATATAAAATAAAAACAGCATTAGCCTTAAGTCAACATTTTTAATTTCCTTTTCCAGTTCAAATGCCAAATATTTGTAGTTCAGAGACAAAGCCAGACCAGGATTCACAAATATCTGAGTTTGTATCCAGATTTAGACATTTACCAGCTGTGTTACCCTGGTCAAGTAACTTAACCTCTGTTTGTCTCAGTTTCCTCACATGTAAAATAGGGAGAGTAATAGCACCTACTTCCCAAGGTGGTTGTGAGGATCAAATAGGATGATAATTGTAAAGTGCTTAGCACAGTGCTTGGCACATAATAAGCAATATGCAAATGTTAGTTCTTTATTGTCTTCATAATCATCATTGCTGTCATCATTATTATTATTTATATAGCTCATGAAGCTACCCAAAGTTCAAGGATCTCCTGCCTCATTCAGAACTCTACCATATGGATGGCTATGATCAACGAGACACAGGCAGTTCAGTTCATCCTCCAGGGATTCTCTGAACACCCTGAACTCCAGATCCCCTTATTCGTTTGTTTCTTCTCCTTGTATATTGTGGCCCTCACAGGCAATGTCCTGATCATCGCAGCCATCATATTCAACTCAAGCCTCCATAGCCCCATGTACTTTTTCCTTTTTAACTTGGCTGCAATGGACATCATCTGCACCTCCTCTGTTCTTCCCAAAGTACTGAAGGGGCTGCTCTCAGAAGAGAACACCATCTCCTATGGGGGCTGCATGGCCCAGCTCTACTTTCTCACTTGGTCTGCATCATCTGAGTTGCTTCTGCTCACTGTCATGGCTTATGACCGTTATGTGGCCATCTGCCATCCCCTACATTATGGCACCATGATGAGCAAGACGCTCTGTAGTGTATTGGCATCTGGAGTGTGGGGTCTTTGTGCCTTCAATACTGCAATACATACAGGTCTGATGATTCGCCTGTCTTTTTGTGGACCCAAAACTGTTACTCATTTCTTTTGTGAGGTTCCCCCTCTCTTGCTTCTGTCTTGCAGTTCTACATATGTAAACACAATCATGATAGTCCTGGCAGATGCCTTCTATGGAATATTGAACTTCGGGCTGACATTGGTTTCCTACTGTTTAATTATCTCCAGCATTCTAAAAATAAGGACAACAGAAGGAAAGAAGAAAGCATTCTCTACCTGCTCTTCCCATCTTATTGTGGTGTGCATGTATTATACTGCTGTGTTCTATGCCTACATAAGCCCAGTCTCAAGCTACAGCCCAGAAAAGAGTAAACTGGCTGGTGTGCTATACACCATGTTGAGCCCCACCTTGAATCCTCTGATCTATACTCTGAGAAACAAGGAAGTCAAACAAGCCCTCAGAAAAATCCTCTCTTTCTTCAAAAACTAAATGATGCTGTAAGAAATGACAAAAGGGATGGTTTCAGAGAAACTGTGGAAGGCTTGTATCAACTAATGCAGAGTGAAATAAGCAGAATCAGGAGGATACTTTAGACAATAACAGCATTTTAGGGACAACAACTTTAGTAGATTTAAGAATTCTAATCTATGTCATGACCAACCATGATTCCAAAGGATTAATAAAGGAACCATGCTACCTACCTCTTGAAAAAGAGAAGATGGATTCAGGATACAGAATGAGGCATATAGCTTTGGACAAGGACAATCTGGATATTTATTTTGTTTGGCAATGAATATTTACTACAAACATTTTGCTTTTTTCCCCTAAAACTGAGGGGTGGGTGAGAGGAAGAGCAGATAAATTATTTTTAATTGAAAAATTAAATGAAAGAGTGAAAAAATCAAATAACTATAATCTTCTTCTTCTTTGATGATTGTAAACTCCTTGAGGGTAGACTATCTTTATTCTTGTCTTTGTATACCTAGTCCCTTTCATAGAGTCTACCAGTTAATAGGTGATTAATAAATTTTCATGAATTGAATTGAGATAAAGGGACTAATATGAAAATGGATATTCCCATCCAAGTCCTTACATAGATAAGTCTATCTTTCACTTCCTGAGAAAAAAAATATGGGAGCAGTTAGGTGGCCCAGTGGATAGAGCACTGGCCCTGAAATCAGGAGGACCCGAGTTCAAATCCAGCCTCAGACCAAACACTTGACAGTGGCTGTGTGACCCTGGGCAAGTCACTTAACCTCAACTGCCTAAAAAAAAATAAAAATACACTAATATAAATGGAATTCAGGGATAGAACATATGAGAAGTGCAAGCAAACACCTGTGGAAAAGTGGAGCCAAGAAAGACAATACTCAGTTTCAGGGAATTGGGAGTGACTACTTACTCTCCAGAGGAATAAAGATTTCCTTGAAATAAAAGAATAAGTGCCTCAGAGAGAAAACAAAGCAACGATAAGGAATCTGGAGAGACTAAGGGGGAATCACAAACCACATTAAAACATTGGAAGTTGGAAAAAATATGATAAAGACAAAGAATGGAAGGACCATTGAATCTTCAGAAACTTTTTATAAAGGAAAGGTCTAGAACTTTTGGAAGGTCAGTCAGTCAGTCAAATAATATTTACTAATTCCCTACTATATGTTAGGCATTATTCTAAGTGTTGAGGAGTTTCTTGTATTCTAAGGAATTACGATGTGTTCTTTTAATTATGGACAATGTTGGAAATGAAACCTCAGTAAGTCAGACCTCCATTTAATAGACTTTCACCCTTTCTCCAAACTCCTGTAATCTGGAAATCATAAGCAAAGAGACACATGGCTTATTCCTTCAAACAAGCAGCCAAAGCCTACCTGGGGAGGAAACTATGTAGAACTCAGTAATCCATTCATCATCTTTGCCTTATGTCTTCATTTCATGCCCAGAAGCCAAGAGAAATGAGTTCTGTCTCTATCAAGGAGTCAGTGACCTTGTAGAGTCATAGAATCCAAATCAACAAGGTTATGAATTACAGCTTAAACTCAGGGGAGAAATAATTTAATCTATTACTAATTTAGGTCTAGAGATAGAACATGCTATAGCAATGTATCTCCTGTTATATTGGCTCCTCAGGTCTAGTCATCAATTATTCCTGCATATAGTGCAAATAGAATGATAAAACTCCCTCCTCCCCACACTCTCATCCCTAGTCTTTTCAAACCTACTCCTACCCAGTTAAACTACAAACAGTGACTCACCGATAGCCTTGCCTATTCAATTATGCATATACTGAACTATTATCTTTAGCTCCCCATATATATCCTCAAACTTTTCAGTCAATAATTCTTCCACATCTCACCTTGACAAAAATGTGGCTCTACTACTGAAGACACTGCATCTTTTTCAACCTATTACACAAGTGGTCATTCTTCATTCCTCTAAACTGACAGGGTCAAGAGGGACATGATATATTTAGGCCTGGAAGGGATACTGAGGGTCATATAGTCCATCTACTAATTTCAAAAATTATGGCCAAATAACTGACTTGACCAAAGTAAAAAATCCATTAAGCAACAGAGCTAGGATATAAATATTCAACAATATTTCCACTGCAGAGCGACACACCTGGTCTTTACTCCCTGATTCCTCTTTCAGACTATGTGACAGCATGATTCTCAATGACCTTCCTTCTACTGAGGTTCATTAAAAAGTTTTACCATACTTCCTTCTTGATTCTTATTTTTACCTATTAACTCCACATTCGTTCTCAACTTTTTATAGAATTTTGTTTGTGGTTTATATTCTCTGTCTCTATAACTACCAAAACAATCTCAAGGCGTATGAATTCTCCGCTGTACGTAATCTTGGCAGCATCCCCTATCTTTTCTGTCACCCAGTATGACATGCCTCTCACCAGCATCCCCACCACGGTACAGAAGAAATGGGGTAGCAAACAGTTACTGTTTTTTACTTTCTCAAATACCCCAATTTACTTCTGTATAGTTCCAATTGAGGGTTTTCCCCTTTGATTATGTCAAGCATAAATTTATCTTTTGGTAACTTCCAGTCATTTGTTTGCCCTATGATGTCAAAAAGATGACCTCCCTGATTTCCTTCTCAGGAAATAATCAACTGAACTGGATCCCAAATTGACCAGTTTCTTGAATTGAGTATAGAAGTATTCAACAGAAAAACTACCTGATCATACCTAAGCAGAAAATATGAGTTATATGCTATAAAAGATTTCCTTTTATTTGAAAATCATTGGGTGTGTTTTTTAATAAAGGGTGATAATGGCATACCTACATATAGGAAATGTTTAAAGAGACTGAATAAATTATAGAGAAAAAAGACTAAGAGTACTTCTCTCCTGAGTGACTGAATTTAATTCTAATCTTGTGAAGAAATATTATGAAGAGAATTCTTTAGAAGAAATTTTGGCTGCTATATGAGAAAACTAAATGGCTATACTTTTTGTCAGGACTGAGGAGAATTAGTAATATCAGGATAATTACAGATGATATTTCTCGCATATAATATATTGTAAATCATTATAAATACATTTGATTTATTGCTTATGAGACAAATTTTATAGCCCATAACCTTAGCATTTAAATGTCAAGACATATATGTCCCAGCCACAACGTGTTCCATATATGTGTGCCACTATACATGTAGGCATAAGCTACACGAATGGCTGTTTCCTTCATATACCCATGTTTCCCAATATGGTGCACGTATTTGTGAGAGAATATGCCCTGGGTTTATATTGGAAATGTTTTATTCCTACTTTTATTTCAATAAATTCTTTTTCATTGATCTAAGGGTGTCTTCTGGCTGACTAGTACAGATAAGCACATTTGTGGAGGCTCATAAATTGTCATTATGAGTGGATACACACCTATAAAATTCCTCAAATCAAAGTAGAACTTTCCAGGGGGATTTATGTGCAACACAGGGAGGGTAGGTTGGGAGGACCCAAGTGGTACAGGACTAATAATAACATTCTCCACTTCGTAAAAAAGTTATGAAGATTAAGAGCAATTAAGTATGAAAAAGGGGGAGTCAGAGCCAAGGTGGTGGAGTAAGGGGAGGGACTCACCTGAGCTATCTCAAATTCCATCCAAACAACTTTAAATAATGCCACAAAAGGAATTCTGGAACAGCAGAACTCATAGAAGAATGGGATGGAAAAAAATTACAGCAGAAGACAACTTAGAAGGTCAACAGGAAAGGTCTGTCACACAAAGCTGAGAGTGGAGCACAATTCAGTGCAGGCTGAAAAACAGCAGGCTGCACCCCAGCAAGCTGGCATGAGGCTTTGGGGGTGCTTACCTTGGTGGCAGTAGCTTCCAGAGCCCACATAAAATATCCCTGTCACACAAGTGGTCAGAAGGAGATTACAGAGGATGATTTGTTGAAATCACATGAAGGACTCTCTTGCATTACCCTTACACAGTTCTGGGTCACAGTCCCAGGGTGAGGAGAGGCAGTAGTAAAAGGGAGACCTTGGTCTTTGTTCCAGAGTAGAAAAGTGTATTTGGGGTCATTCACAGATCAGAGCACAGGCCAGGAGAATAATTGCCACTTTGGAAGAACTGAAAGCTTACAGACCTGAAGAACTAGCTCTGAAAACAGCTGCAGGAAAAAAAAATAAAAATAAAAACTTGAAGCTTGGGACAGTGGGCTTCTACCCCTTGAGCAGAACCCAATGTTAGCATAAAGTTAAAAGTCAAGAAATAGGCTAGAAAAATGACCAACCCCCCCAAAAAAAACCCCAAAGTTACTATGTCTTCAAAGGAAGATGAAAACACAAACAGAAGAAGATAGCAATGTCAAAACAGCCACGTGTAAAGAAAAATGTAAATCGGTCTCCACCCTCCAAAAAGAAGTCTTGGAAGAGCTCAAAAAAAGGGTAGTAAAAATCAAATAAGAGAAGTAGAGGTAAAATTGGCTAAAGAAATTATAAAAATGCAGGAAATGATGAAAAGGGAGTCAACAGCTTAGTAAAAAATAAAAGGGCATAAAACATACTGAAGAAAATAACAGCTTAAAAAACAGAATAGTCCAGATGGTAAAAGAAGCACAAAAATCCAATGAAGAGAAGAACTGTTTAAAAAGCAAGATTGTTCATATGGAAAAATATTTACAAAAATTCACTGAAGAAAATAACTCCTTTAAAAGTAGAATTGGACAAACAGAAAAGCAGATACAAAAAGTCACTAAAGAAAATAATTCCTAAAAATTAGAATTGGGCAAGTGGAAGCTAATGACTGCATGAGACATCAAGAAATAATAAAACAAAAACAAAATAATGAAAAAGTAGAAGAAACTTTGGAATATCTCATTGAAAATTGAAATTGAAAGATCACCTCTTGAAAGAGATCCCATAATGGAAACTCACTGAAATATTATAGCCAAATGCCAGAGTTCCCAGGTCAAGGAGAAAATATTGCAAGCAGCCAGAAAGATATAATTCAAGTATTGTGGAGCCA